GTTGAATAATGGGATTGTTGGGGTGTGGGGTGTTGGATAATGGGATTGTTGGGGTGTGGGGTGTTGGATAATGGGATCGTTGGGATGTGGGATAATGGGATCGTTGGGACGTGGGATGTTGGATAATGGGATCGTTGGGTTCGGGGTGTTGAATAATGGGATTGTTGGAATGTGGGATGTTGGATAATGGGGTCGTTGGGTTCGGGGTGTTGGATAATGGGATCGTTGGGATGTGGGGATGTTGGATAATGGGATTGTTGGGTTTGGGATGCTGGATAATGGGATCGTTGCGTTCGGGACGCTGGATAATGGGGTCGTTGGGATGTGGGATGTTGGATAATGGGATGGTTGGGTTCGGGATGCTGGATAATGGGATTGTTGGGTTTGGGACGTTGAATGATGGGATTGTTGGGTTCGGGATGCTGGATAATGGGATCGTTGGGATCGTTGGGATGCTGGATAATGGGGTCGTTGGGTTCGGGACGCTGGATAATGGGATCGTTGGGATCGTTGGGATGCTGGATAATGGGATGGTTGGGTTTGGGACGCTGGATAATGGGGTTGTTGCGTTCGGGACGCTGGATAATGGGGTCGTTGGGTTTGGGATGCTGGATAATGGGGTCGTTGGGTTCGGGATGCTGGATAATGGGGTCGTTGGGTTCGGGATGCTGGATAATGGGGTTGTTGGGATCGTTGGGACGCTGGATAATGGGCTCGTTGCGTTCGGGATGCGTTGGCTTTGGCTGATGGGGACGCAGGCGTGGGTCCCTTGAGGGTCACCCGTTGTCCCCCCTCCGTCCCCAGGCTCGGATTTCGGGGCGCTGGAGGACGCCCAGACGTACGCCCGCATGGCGGCCCGCGACGAGCGCCGCTTCCGCGCCGCCGACCGCGACGGGGACATGGCGGCCACCGCGGCCGAGCTGGGCGCCTTCCTGCACCCCGAGGACTTCGAGCACATGCAGGACGTCGTGGCCATGGTGGGTCGCTCAGCGCCACCCCCTGCTGCCACCCGCTGTCCCTCTGGTGTCTGTTGGGGTCCCCACGGTGGCACCCCGGGGCCCTTGGTGTCCCCTTGGTGTCACCAAAGGTCCCTTGGTGTCCTCTTGATGTCCCCACAGTGGCACCTCGGGGCCCTTGGTGTCCTCTCCATGTCCCCTTGATGCCCCCATGGTGTCACTGAGGGTCCCTTGGTGCCACTGAGGGTCCCCTGCTGTCCCCTTGGTCTCCCCCTGGTGTCCCCTGATGTCCCTTTTGTACCTCCTGCTGTCCCCATGGTGCCACCCAGTGTCCCTCTGGTGTCTGTTGGTGTCCCCGTGGTGCCACCTCGGGGCCCTTGGTGTCCCCTAGATGTCCCCTTGGTGTCGCTTAGGGTCCCTTGGTGTCCCCTTGCTCCCCCCCCGCTGTCCCCATGGTGCCACCCAGTGTCCCTTTGGTGTCTGTTGGTGTCCCCACGGTGTCACTGAGGGTCCCTTGGTGTCACCTTGGTGTCCCCCTGGTGTCCCCTGACGTCCTTTTTGTACCTCCTGCTGTCCCCATGGTGCCACCCGGTGTCCCTTCGGTGTCTGTTGGTGTCCCCATGGTGCCACTGAGGGTCCCTTGGTGTCACCTTGGTCTCCCCCTGGTGTCCCCTGACGTCCCTTTTGTACCTCCTGCTGTCCCCATGGTGCCACCCAGTGTCCCTTTGGTGTCTGTTGGTGTCCCCACAGTGGCACCTCGGGGCCCTTGGTGTCCCCATGGTGTCATCCAGTGTCCTCTTGGTGTCCCCTTGGTGTCCCCAAAGGTCCCTTAGTGTCCTCTTGATGTCCCCACGGTGGCACCTCAGGGCCCTTGGTGTCCCCTTGGTGTTATCCAGTGTCCCCTTGGTGTCCCCTTGGTGACACCTTGGGACCCCTGGGGTCTCATGGGGGCTTTTTGTCCCCCTGCTGTCCCCATGGTGTCCCCTTGATGTCCCTTTTGTACCTCCTGTTGTCCCCATGGTGCCACCCAGTGTCCCTTTGGTGTCTGTTGGTGTCCCCACAGTGTCACCTTGGGGCCCTTGGTGTCCCCAGCTGTCTCTTGGTGTCCCCGTTGTCCCTTCTGTACCTCCTGGTGTCCCCATGGTGTCCCCCAATGTCCCCTGGATGCCCTCTGGTGTCCCCTTGGTGTCCCTGTGTGTCCCCTTTGCGTCCCCCCCCCAAGGCACAGCATCCCCCCCCTTTGTCCCCCGCAGGAGACAATAGAGGACATGGACAAGGATGGGGACGGCTTCATCCAGCTGGAGGAGTACATCGGTGAGGGGGGCACCGCCACCCCAACCCCACGTCCGTGTCCCCAACCCCACGTCCCTCCCTGTCCCATCCTGAGTCCCGTGTGCCCAGTG